CTCGTTCCCTGTGGAAGGTTGGGCGTGTTAGGCAGTATGTGTCATGCCGTGAAAGCCGTTCTCTGTCTTCTTGTTGAAGCGCGCATGCGACAAAAAGTGATAGAAAACGAGTAATACGAACGATATGATAAGTCACATCACTTGCTCTCTTTAATAGCTGGTGGTGAACGGGTTTGGCACCGCGCCAAACTCGTCCCGACTGACACGCCCAACCATCCATAAGGAACTACACTATACGTCGTACGTCTGGTATTCTCTTAGAAAGGGCAGGGGATCGTAACTGGTCGCTTTAAGATGTGGGAGGATCATATCTGGTCAGGTAGTTTATATTGTCGCAGCCTAGCAGGTCTTGTCAGGAGGCGTGGAACGAGTCCACCCGCTGCTGCGTTTTCTACCAACAGTGGTCTCAGGTAGGAAATCCCAGTGGTAGAAAACGCCGCGCGAGCCGGCTCATTGCACGCCTTTCACACCTCCCTGGTGGATTGCAGTGATATCAACTTCAGATATCGATCGACACATCTAGAGAGGTTCACAAAGATATCCCTACTCCCACATTAGAGAAATTTCGCATTAATCTGATCGGAGGAGAGGACCTCCCCTCACATAACCTCTTCCTATAAAAAAGTCGAAGGGATGGTTACTACCTGAGATAAATGCACGCTCCATGTTCAATTGATGTTCATCGGACGCCTTTGAAAAATGGTAGTCCTGCCGGTACGCATAGAGGGTGCAGAACTTTCGAAAATAAAATATGCAGGATACGCTCGCAGGCCACGGCCCCGCCCACCGACCACGGCAACGCCCAACCGCTCGCTGATGCGCAAAATCAGAGAAACCAGAGACACGTAAAAAAGCCCACATCATTTAGCTAGCATGTCAACTTCATTCTTCAATATGTTCATTCTTCACGTATTAATCCGGATTGTTTGAAACATCTTAAAGCATGCAATCATGTTCTAAAGAAAGACTAAGTGAATAGTTAGGAAACTGGTAGTAATCACAGCTGGAACTCAAAACCGTTGAAGAAATGCGAATTATTGATGGCATATAATGAGTAAAGCTCTGAAAAACAGTATACCTTCTGGAAATAGTGAAATACTGAATGCACACAATATTTACAGTAAATAATCAGAGTGTAAAGAGAGAAGGCAGCGACAAGCTAAAGCCTTCTATCAAGTTATGCTTCAGACTAGTGAAAGTAAGGATGGAAGATGACGAAAATCAATACTTCAAATCAATATGCATCAAAAGTATGAGTGCAAATACATAACTGCAGTGAAGAACGAGAAATCTCTTGTTCTTAAAAACTGAGGTAACTCAGTGAAGAAGCATGAAGACGACAACTTCAAGGGAAAAACAATGCTTTTCGTGAATGTAGTTGCTCTATGGCTGAACAACCAAATGATGGTGAGTGAGATTCAGTACTTGGTCGAACACCTCCTCTTCTTATGGTGAAATCTGCCAGAGCCGGAGAACGTGACACTCGGACCTTAATAAGGTTACAGCGGAATAAAAGATAAAAATATTTGAGACACAAAGGCAGCAGGGAGGGGCACTAGCACCCATATAAAAACTGGCTAGTAGAATTATAAAAATAACTCACAAAAAGTTGATGTTCCACCGAAAAGCTTTGAGTAGGTTCAAAATGCGTGAGAATGATGATAATCTGCAAAACTATTACTAAGTAACGAATAACAGAAGACTTAAAACAGTGAAAATGTTTCGTCCAACATTGAACTAACCAAATGCCACTTGGTCTGGATTTCACACCAAGCAAGATCAGAAAGACCAGCAAGGGCTAGGGCTTGGCTCGCGCCGATAGAGCACTTCATCGCGTTAAAGGGCAGCATCAGTTCGACCCTCTAACCACACAGGCCTTTGATACGACCCCCTTCCACCACCGTTAATGTTGATGACCATTACTAGGACAACTGTGGCTTTCTTAGCAGGGGGATGTTAGTGAAATGGAAACCGTCATTACAAACAGGTCAGAACGCTTGCTAATCCTCCGCGGAGTGGTATTTGGTCACTGAAGGCAGATGGGGAGATCACCACCGTCCTGAGAATTCTTTTGATATTTGCTTTTTCCTGCTTCACACATGCTACCTCCCGCGCTTGGAAACTCCCGCTGAGGTGGTGGCATTTGCTTGTCGCTTCGAGAAGAGGATCATTCTGGCTCCACATGCGTTTTGCGGTTGTTGACTTTTCGTGTTTTCTCGTTCCACATGTGCCAAATACCCTTCTGACGGCAGCATTTTTGGAGAAATACCAGAAATTCCTTCGAACAGTGGGAAAAATGGGAAGTTGGGGGAGCTTAGGGATATGTCAAGTAGCATGGGGAGGGGCTCGAGAGGGGATCGCGTTCTGCGAAAATTCTGCCCAACATCATGTAGCGTCCTTATAACGCAGCTAATATTTCATTGTTCTGGGATCAAAGTTCATTGATAGATGTTTTCTTCTGTGCTGACGAGGTTGTTAACAGGATTTCCATATTATTAATTGAGTAACAATTAATGAATTAGTTATAATAATTAATGTCACTATTAAGATATGACTAACAATATTCTAGTATTATCACTACTATTCTATTATAATGATGTCATGTTATTATTATTATAATTATTGTTATACTTTTGTGATGGTTCTGATAATTGAATTATTATCATGAATCATCCCACCTAACAACCCCTTTGTGCAAAAGAAGGTACCTGAAATGGAAAGATGGGAAGAAACCCAATAGGGAAGAGTCGCCGTGTTGCGTACCCAATTCTCAACCCTGAAGTTTAGCGTAGAGGTAACCCTCCAGGGCCATATTCGTGAGCTTT